GTTAATGACCTTATAATGCCTGTTATGAATTGCCTTATAATGGCCTTTTGATTTTGAACATGTTATGTAATGTCTTACAATGACCTTTTGGTATTTGAACCCATTATGTATTGCCTTATAATGGCCTTTTGGTTTTGAACCTGTTATGTAAAGCCTTACAATGGCCTTTTGGTATTTGAATAACTTTGTTTTATTGAACAAGGTATTGCTTTATAATGGACTTGTTTTATTGAACCTGTTGTGTATCAAATATTGAATCTATTAATGAATGTTGGAATGGTTATTGAACCTGTTATGTATCAAACTTTGAAACATGTTTTGAACATGTTATATATCAAACATGTTATTGAACCTGTTATGTATCAAACATTTTATTGAACTTGCTATGAAACAAACATGTTATAGTTTGTTTCCACAAATATTGGTCATTGGGCTGCATACCGGTTGGATATTGAGACATTATTCAATGAACCTGTTATGTATCAAACATGTTTGAATAAGTTATATTACAGTTTGTTTCCACAAATATTGGTCATTGGTTATGCATATTTTACAGGTTGGATATTGAGACATTATTAAATGAAAATATGAAAACAGAACACAAACATTATTCATTGAAACAATATAACAATACATTATTCATTAAACAAACTCATCAATTTGTTACAACATAACAGTACATTATTACAAACATAAAAACATAACTTAAAACTACCCAAAAACTAATTGAGATACATTGTTACAAACACAAAGTTCAACCCTAAGCTTACAATCCCAACAACAATGGACATTTTGAGCCACCCTCGAGTGTACATAACTTCATTCTTCAATCTGTTAATTTTCTTCTTTTGTCTTTCAAGCTTCAAATCTCTTTCATCAAGAAACTCATCACCCAACCACTTGAAGAAATTACAACCCTTTTCAATGTGGTTTTTGTAATTTCTACAACCCAAGAATTTTCTCCCTTGTTGACACTGTTCACATCATTCACTGTTCCAAGAACACTTTCATCTTGACAAAAGCACTCAATCATCTTGTTTCTACGAATCAAATTAGATCCAGATGTGCCATAGCTATGGTTGTTTGAAGTGAAGTTGTGACATTGTTTGCACTTTTTGACACTGCTTGAACCCTAATTCCCAAATTGCAGAAGAAAATGGAAGATAATATAAGGAAATTGGAAGAAAGGGATTTAACCCTGAATTGAAGATGAAGATGGAATAAGTTAAAATGTGGAACACAGATGAAGAAGAATGGTGGAAGAAGAATGAAACAGTAAGAGTGAAATATGAAACCCTATGTAAGGCAACGTATACATATGCTGACATGGAATCCAAAATTGGCTTACTTGGCATGCCACCCACATAAACTAACGTTTTTTTGACACAAACTAACGGAAGGAACCAAAGAGTTTAACGAAACTTAAATTAAAGGATCATTACGTAATGATTTTTAATTCAGGGATCAAAGCGAAACTTCGCTCAAAGTTAAGGGACCTAGTGACTAATTATGCCAATATGTTAATATTAATTTAGTATAGTTTAGTTAAAATATTAATATTAATTTAGTTTAATTTTTTTTATTAATATTAATTTAGTTAAAACGTTAAAAAATATTTTAGTTTAAGTTTAGTTCAAATACTAATATTAATTTAATTTAATTTATTAAAATATTAATTTAATTTAATTTATTAAAATATTAATTTAATTTAATTTATTAAAATATTAATATTAATTTATAAATAAAATATTAAAATAAAATTTAATTTATTAAAACATTTGAAATGCTGTAATTAAATAAAACTTAGTTTAATTTATATTAAATATTAAATATTAAATAAATAAGCAAATCATAAGCATTTCAATATGCAACTAAATTTAGTTTAGTTTAGATTATATTAAATTTGATTTAGTTTATGTTATATATATTTGATACAAATCATAAACAACAAAAACATAGTAACCTAGTGGTAAGGGGATTTGCTTACATTTACCAAGCAATGGGTTCAATATTTGGTGTGGACTAACTTTTAAATTTTTGATCTTTTAATATTTTAACATGCAAATAATAAAATAATAATAAACTATCATGCATGCGCTACCTGACTTGTCTACTAAAGTGCTAAAATAAAATAATTTTTAAATGGCAAAAAAATATTTATGTTTTTTTTTTTGCCAAGAAATAGCGTGTGACTCTATCAACAAAAGTGTTAAAATAAAATAGTTTTTAAATAATAGAGACAAAATCTTTATTTTTTTTATAGGTTTTCTTTTAAATTTGTTCCAAATGACAAGAGTAAAATGTCTATTAACCCAAAGAAAAATTAAGATTTTTGACATATTCACCCTCACTATATGTGGTGGATGAAATAGTCCTAAAAAAACCAAAATATGTACCACATTAAAAAAATGACACTTCATATTTTTTAGACTAAAAATAAATACGAGGAACTAAAATTATATAAAAAATAAATAGAAAGATTGATTTCGTGAGTAGGGTACAATATGAAGATCTAAATTATAATTTACCATACTTTTTGTTATGTTTATTTTATTTTATTTTAGTTATTGTAAAATTAATTTATCTTAAAATTAATCATTAAAATATGTAAAATATATGATTTTATTGTCTCTAATATTAATGACATAAAAACTAGAATAAAATATTTTATATACTGTAGAGATCAATTCTAAAATAAATCCATTTTGTAAGGACAAAAACAAAAGAACAATATCTTAAAATATAGAAAAATTACAAAGACCGAAACAAAATAAAAAATAACTATCAGAATTAAAACCAAACAATAATATATTTGTAGAAATCAACTACATATTTAGATCATTATAATATGACTTTATACCAAGTATATATTATTTGAGTCACATAAAAACTATATCCATTTTAATCAAACATTTAAAAAGAACAAATCTAAGTAAAAAATAAATACATCATAGATTACAAATTAAACTTAAATTTTGAATTTTTTTAACAGATCTTAATTGATCTTAATTAAGTCTAGAGCAATTAAGCTTATTCTTATCCTTATTAACAAATATGAATTCAAATCATTGTGTATGTATATATTTTTCTTCATACAACTATATATTTTTCACAAACACTCAATAAATAATAAAATAAATTTTAAAATCATCTAAAAAATTAAATAATTAATTTGTGTTTAGTTTTAAATAATCCAACGATTAAATTCACATAATGTAGCCTTTTCTCTAAGCATATTAAATATTATGATAATTTTCTCCATATAAATTATATTTATAAGACTAAATAAATATTCTTACTTACCATATACATGATTAAAATTATTTTAAATTATATTTTAATCTAGAAATATCTAAAAATTTACTTTTTTCCACTAAATCTACCTAAAATATTTTGAAAATTCCGTTTGGTTTATATATTTATACTTTTATATTAATATATAAAGACAAAATATAAATTTGATGCAGTCTTTTTTCTTTTAAATATATCACTTTTAATTATTATTTTAAAATTTAACTTAACGGTGGTTATACGATAGTTTATTATTTTTAATTATTTAATATAAAATTTAAAATAAAATTAAATTTAAAAAAATATAATATTATTTATATTTTATGCACATCAGTATAAGAAAAAATGAACATAAGAATGCTAGTAATTTATTAAAATATTAAATATTAATAATAATCAATCATTTTATTTATTTTAGTCAAAATGTATATTATATTTTTATTCACAAAAATTATATTTTTCTTTTGTGTTCGTGTTCGTGTATATAAAGACACGAAAAAAGTGTGACTTGGGCTTTCACCATTTCTTCTTCTCTTTTTCTCTCTTACAGTGTTTCTACTAACTTTCCAACCGTTTGTTTCGCTTCGGCGGGATTCTGAACTTCCCGCGTTGAGCACTCTTGCTCTCTAAGGTATGCTACATTACCTTGCGTCTCACTTGAATTTCGATATTTTTTTTTATGATAATTGAGCTCTGAAAATCGAATCTGTTGTTGATTTTGTTTTGTTTATGATTCTCATTAGTTTATGAAAATTGATATGAAAAAATGGTGTATGGAATTTGGTTATTGTTTAGGGTTTATTGGTGTTTGATTTAGTGGAATAGGAGGTTGGGATTGTGATCTGCATGTACATTGCTTGCTCGTCAAGAATCCTGTAATCAGCTAGGATTGGTTGTTTGTTGAATTTTGGATGAAGTTGTTTTTATTTTGTTTGTGAGAATGTTGTTTTTGTAGTTCCGTTCGTTTGAAGTCTTTCATTTTATTTTCAGAAATAAAGAATGAATGACGAAGTTAAATGTGAAATGATACTTTACGTGGTGATTATTAATTGTGATGAGAATTTGATTTGTAACTTAAAAAAAGTTATCTCAAGTTTATAGTAGGGGCGGGCAAGGGAGAGGTTGCAACGGTTATACTTGTCTTGGGCCTAATTCAACCCTAAATTAAGTTCAGATCTATTAAAAGGAGATCGGATTGCCCCAAAGGATAATTGAGACGAAATTTTAAAGTGATTATTCAATTATGACTAAAAGTTGAAAGTGATAGATTGATTTTTTGTAAGTATATACCACCTTGCATTCAAACTCAAACATGATTAATACAACAAAGCTTTACTACAAGATATATATTTTAACCAACTTAGATTTCCTATTTAATAATGTTCTTTTGCTGTTGTTTGTTTTGCCTTTTTTATGTTTGTAAATGGTGTGGCTGCAGTTTGGTTACTTATTGGCATGAGCTATTTTGTTTTAAGATTCTTTCCTAGGGTTGATTTGGAATCAAAATGAATTTCATTTTGTCAAAAGCACACACATTTGACTGTGCATTTATCTCGTGCATGTGTTTGTTATATATGTTTTCATTTAAATGCACATACTTATGCTTATCATCTTGTTGTTCTTGGTTTTACTTAGGGTGGGGGATTTGGTTAATAGATTAGTGTTCTTTTATCTTGCTTACATGAAAATCTGTATCCTTTCAGAAGAACATGAGTAGCTTGGTTGAGAGGCTTCGTGTAAAATCTGATCGCAAGAAATTTTATACTATAGACTTGTCGGATGATGATGATGATGATGATTTAATGCCCAGCAAAAGTCAGACAACTCAGGAGAAGTTTGAGAAGATTGTTAGAAGTGATGCAGTATGTTACTTCCTTCCTTTTTGCTTTTACTATTTCTGTGTGATTCATTTTATTTTGTGCTGTACTCACTTTCCCTAAATTTTGTTTACATTTTTGGTAGTATGGTGTTAAGTGCACTGCTTTGATAATTAATGCTTTTATTGCTGTAATGCAAAAAACCCGTATCTGAATTTCCAGTCAAACCCGGCATGCTCTTGATGAATTTAAAGGCAGGCAACTCTTTGACATAATATTAATTGGCGACAAGTGTTGTGGGAGAATTTTCTGCATAATCTTGTTGTTTAGATCCTAGTATTGTTTAATTTGGTATGGAATCTGCAATTGCTAATGCTTACTAGATATCCGTGGTACAGATTCTGACCTATCTGAAAAATAATATGGGGACTTCTTTCTTCTTTCTGTATGTTTATCATTTTTATCTGTTCAATTACTTGATATATGTTGTGCTAAGGTTTTTCTATTTGTGATGAATACCAAAATTGTTCCGAGAGTTTGGATCATTTTCCAACATAAGCCTATTTAACTGTTTAGAAGGAATAAAAAGGGCAGGGTCTTTGGCAGTCAGCATTACTGTATTTTACGGTTTACTTCGGTGCCTGTGAGAGGAATAGCGGGGTATGGATAAATTTTTGCTGTTATCTTTTTTATGGGACAAAGTTGGATTTTTAATTACTAATGGCTTTGATAAGAGCTACAACAACTCAATCAAATGATGCTATAATTTCCTGTTTAATACTGTTTGAAGATAGACCAGATAAATCAAAATCCTGTTTAACGTTACCTATAGTTTCCCTTGGTCACTTTCTACCTCTTACTGTTGAACTATTATCCATCTAATTCACATTCCTTATTGAGGCTTATATAGGTCCTTTTCCCACATGCTCCAACAGCCTAAGGAGAGAGTTTCACCATTTCCTCATTAGGGCTACCCCTACTTTCTGTCTATTGCTTTTATTCTTAATTTGATATTATGCATTCACTCATCCGTTGTAATATTTTTATATCTGCTACATCGAGCTTCATTTCTTGTTGGCTCTTTATCACCCAATGTTCAGTCCTATACAACATCATATGTCACCTAGTTATCTAATATATTTTTTCTTAAGCTTGAGTGTACTTTATATTGCAAATTACACCAGAAGCATGCCTTAATTTCATTCTAGTTGCTTGAATCCTATGGTTCTGATCCTCACTATTCACTATGATTTTGATTGATGAACTCGTGGGATCTTCTCCAATTTTTATGGCATTTGTATGTTGGATCCAAGATACTTAAATTTTGGTATTTGTGGCGTGGTAACTTCTCCAATTTTTATCTCAAAGCCAGAATTGCGCGTGTTTCGTGATCAAAGAAAACCTGGAAAAAAACCGCGTTGAGTATGAAGCTACACTTAATAGCTTCTCAAATTCACGGTGAAAAGGGCCTTAGACACATGGCAGCGGTGACCCATTGGGTTACCAAACATTCCCTTAGTACATTTCGTGCTAGAATTAGTGAGTCTTCTGCTAAACTTATATACTCCCTCAGTCTCATAAAAAGTGTCTCATTTGCATTTTTTCTATGTCTCAAAATAAATGTCTCTTTAGAATCGCAATACGGCATTTATTATTTTTTTCCACTACTATATCCCTACTTATTAACTTTCACGTTTTTCAACTACTCCACTAACTATAATAAATAAGGACATTTTAGTAAAAGATACTATTTTATCATTAAAATCAATACATCCAATCATTTTCTTAAGAACCGCGCAGAACTCAAATAAGACACTTATTATGAGACGGAGGTAGTACCATATACTTTGTTTTACTTCTATTCAAAAGATATTCTTTAGCATCCCACACTTTTCTGGACAACTCTAACTTGTCTCTTAACTAGGACTATATTATTTGCCAAAAGCATGCAACGTAACAGCAATAATTGTTTTCATAAACTTTTTTCAAATTCTAATGAAATGAATTAACAATGTGATTAAGTTCCTTATTGGGGGAGCTCTGGGATTGTCACTCCTTGCTTACTTGATGTGTTTTTCTTGGTTCTGATTTTTGCGTTTTTTATTTTTCTGATAAGGTTGTTGTATCATTCTCTCCTTTGGTAGCTCTTTATTCACTTGTTTGATGTTATAGCTTTAGACAAGTTAAGTTGTTACCTCTTTTCTCTCCCACTCCTTGTTTTGATGTTTCTATCCTTTCCCAATAGAAAGAGCATTCATGTCAAGCTTGCGGAGAGAGCGAAAATCTTCTGAGCTGTGAAACATGCACTTATTCTTTCCATCATAGGTGTTTACTCTTTCCACTAAAAAGCTCCCATCTGGACAACTGGATGTGCCCTGAATGTGTAAGTGTAATACTTTTAACAAGTTTTCTTCTTAGGTAATATCTGTATAATACTTGCATTCTCTATGTGTGTGCAGGATAACCCACTTAATAATATTGATAAGATATTAGATTGTGATATGCGCTCTATTGTAGCTGGCAAAGGTGATACCAAAAATTTGGAATCAAAAGAAAGCTTGGCCAAACAATATCTTGTTAAGTGGAAGGGACTATCGTATTTGCACTGCAGATGGTAAATATATTGAAACACAGACTGTTTCATTATTTTCAGCCTACAATGGTGCCTTGTGAATTTTAAAAATATATAAATTTCCATTTCCTAGCCTCACCCTATATATTACTGTATCACTACAATTTTCAGTTTTGAGTGTCATGTTCAATTTTCACTATCTATTACTGTATCAATACAAATTCGTAGCTTTTTACGTATTTATTTGCCGAGTCTTTTTATCATTGCGGCCTGCGGGTATTGTCCATTTATCAGCTACATAAATTTTCTCTTTAGGGTGCCAGAGGAAGAGTTTCTGAAAGCTTTCAAGAATTATCCTCGCTTAAAGACCAAAGTAAACAATTTTCATTATCAAAAGGAACAAGTCAGACAATTGGATGAAGGTTTTGTTGCCATTCGACCTGAATGGACTGTTGTTGATCGAATACTTGCTTGCAGGTTAAGCTTTTAGCAATTTCCCCCTCTTCTTGCTTATATGAAAAATAACATGAGATGATTATGTTGCTGGTTACTGTACATGTTTTGGAACTTTGGATTGAGTTTTAAATTCATTTGTCCCTGAGTGTTTACAGGAATTTTGGTAGACAAGTGGTTGTTAAGTTAAGTTCAAACTATATTTCTTGAATTTAGGGTCACTAATCATTGACCTAGGAAGTGAGTTTGGGTTGCAGATTGCCAAAAACAAGTGCTGGGGATGGAGGGTTTAGACAATTTAGACAATTTTATAAGTCGTTGCTGTGATTTTCAGGAAAATGGAGTCTGTTTCATCATTCGATCATCACAATTTTCCTCTAGTCTTCTCCTTATAAGTTGATGAGGGAGTTTCCCTCCACTCTGAACAGATTTTATACTTTTTTTTTTGTTAATTAGTTGTGAGAGAATTTTGCCACTGAAATATGTTGCTTAATCATTTAGAATTATTTTGAATAATTTTATTCCATCTTTTCTATGAAAGTGTCTTCAAATACCCAATTCACGGAATATTGTTTAAATGGTACAGGGCAAATGATAATGAGAAGGAATATCTTGTAAAGTGGAAAGAGCTTCCTTATGATGAATGCCATTGGGAGCTTGAGTCAGATATCTCTTTGTTCCAAGCAGAAATAAAGAGATTCAATATATTTCAGTCTAGGACTAGGAAAATTTCTTATAGTAAGCAAAAAAGCAGGGATAATGATGATGCTGAATTGATAAAGCAGCACAAAGAATTTCAACAGTATGAACAAAGCCCCGAGTTTCTTTCAGGGGGTATGTGCTTTGACTGATCTATTGTTTTGGCAAAAGCACACCTTTTGTCTTTGATTTATTAGATTAGAATGATCCTGATTTCATATATTTATGGAAATGAAGGGGCACTACATCCATATCAACTTGAAGGATTGAACTTTCTGCGATTCTCTTGGGCCAATGAAACCCATGTTATACTTGCTGATGAAATGGGACTTGGTACGTAGTCTCAATTGTTCTCGTGCTCAATCTATTTATCCCCTCCTCCTAATATCTCTTTTCCTTACTATTATTCTTAATTTGGAGTTTTTAGCTGAAGCATAACCTTGATGACTTGCTTTTTCATCTTCAGGAAAAACCATACAAAGTATTGCTTTCTTAGCATCTCTTTTCAAAGAGAATGTTTCTCCACATCTGGTGGTTGCTCCACTTTCTACACTACGAAACTGGGAGCGTGAATTTGCAACTTGGGCACCTCAAATGAATGTTGTATGTATATACTCAATTTCTTAGTTTCATTATTATTACTATATTTATGCTTTTAATGTTTGTTAATTTCTTTAGATTATGTATTGTGGATCTTCTCAAGCTCGTGGCATTATTAGAGAATATGAATTTTACTTTTCAAAGAATGAAAAGAACAAGAGAGTTAAATCTAAAAAAATTGTTACTACAATCAAGTTTGATGTCCTTTTGACATCATATGAGATGATAAACTTGGACACCACCTGGTTAAAACCAATCAAGTGGGAGTGCATGGTAAAATTCTACTCACCATTCTAGTGCTAGAGCCAGTAAAATTAGGGGGTATTTGGTCTGTGGAACTGTTTTATGTTTCTCAAGATGACATTTTTATACTTAAACAATTTTGAAACAGTAAATGAAAAAACACCAGGAACCAAACATACCCTTAATTTTCCAGTTGTCTCTATGGTTACCATCTAATTACATCTCGTTTGTGCTTCAGTGCATGGTTCATGAATGCTGATAACTTAACATCTGTATATACATGATGCACGCAGATAGTCGATGAAGGTCACCGTCTCAAAAACAAGGAATCTAAATTGTTTTCTTCATTAAATCAATACTCTAGCAGACATCGCGTGCTTTTGACAGGAACTCCTCTTCAGGTTTGTTTAAAATTTATGCCATTGTGCCATATCAGATTTACTGTATGTTTTTGTTTTGACTTTTTATAGCATTGACTAACAAGAACAATGTTTTGTTTTGTTTTTCGGGTTTCCTAGAAAATTGTGTTGTTGGTCTTGGGACTATTACTCAGAATTCTACTTGGTAATTGGGTCACATAAATAGTTTCTAAAGGATTTCTTTCTTTCCGATTGTATTACTAATATTTAAAGATAAACATGTATTTAGGATGCCCAATATCTCCAATAAGAAGTTTTGGTTACTTTGGTCCCTGATATGGTACACGCTCAAATATGATATTTTGGTTACCTTTTGTTACTGCAGGGTCCCTATTGCCACCAGCCTGGGTCCTGGTGGCCCGTGTCATTCTATAATAATTAAATTCCTTTTTAAAATGATTTATGGATGGGTTTGATATCCATCAGTAAATAAATCGTAAATATGGATTGAATGAAAATTTTTCAAATAGATTGTGGATGAATTGTATTCTTTAATGGATTATAAATGGATAAATTGATTATTTTAATCCATGCATTATCACCCAAACAAATTTGTGTCTAATCCATCCGTTACCAACCCTTGTGTTAACACAATTTTTTAGCATTTACAAAAAAGCCGAAAAGAATAGATATGATATTATTCTCTATTAGATTGAATTCAAAGGATAATTAATTTTATATATATGAAATATGCCAAATTTGTCCTAGTTATGAAATAAACACCTTTTGATGATTTTACATAAAATATATTACACAACCAAAAGTTTATTACAGTAATGTAGTAATCTTTGTTACTCAGAAAATTTGACTTCTGTATTGGTTCTAAGTAGTACTCTATGTCAGTGTTGTCAATTGCGGAAAATAGAAGTTTGTTTAAATTCCTCTATGCTAGAGTGTTGTATTGCCACTGTAGTTTCTATTTGACTATACTTAGTTCTAGAGTGTGCACCGTGGAACAATACCGGCCTGTTCCTATTTCACTATGCTATAGCGCAATAAAGGCTGTTCCTATTTCACTATGCTATAGCACAATAGCGCTGCTATTTGACAACACTCTACTGTCTTGTAGACATTACTCCTTCTAGTGCATATTATTGATTTTTACATAATGGTGCATGCATTGAGTTTTATGTTGGAAGTTGGAACCCTACTTGACAACATGTCTGATGCATTTCAGAACAATCTGGATGAACTTTTTATGCTTATGCATTTCCTTGATGCTGGGAAGGTTAGTATGGGACATATATTATAAAAAGTATGATTATTATGTTATCTAATATACCCCATAAAAGTCCTATGTATCTAATGGTCTTTCAATTTCCTTCTGGTAGTTTGGAAGTTTAGAGGAGTTCCAAGAAGAGTTTAAGGATATCAATCAAGAGCAACAGATTTCAAGGCTTCATAAAATGTTGGCCCCACATCTCCTGCGAAGTATATATCTATTTCTTGAATAAGTTACATTTTTTTTTTGTCAGCGTTTCTGTTTATGCTCATGATTTTTTATAAAAGCACTGGCTTGTTGGTTGGGGTTTCTTATACTATTTTTGTGCCGCCTTCTTCTGTACTCCTCGCACGGTCGATGTTCTCAATTTGTGCACTTTTAAATAACCTCGTTCTTATAGAAATTCGGTCTTCGTGACCACTCTTAAATAATGATTGATACTGGATGAAGTTGTTGGTCTTGTTTTAATTTTATACTGATATTCTAACTTTAAAAAATAATGAGTGATAGTTATTGGAATGACCTATGTTGGGTTAGAACTGGTCCAAGAAGGTTCTAAGATCTCGACTTTTCTAAAAGAAAAAAAGGGCTACTGGCTACTGATGTAGTCTGGTTTCCCTTTTTGAATTGAAGTGCATAGACTCAGATAGTTAGATTTAGTTTGCGTAACTTTAGTATTCAACAAGGGTTTGACATACTAAATAATTTATGACAAATAGGATTATCTGAAATGTGGAATCAAATGTTAACCCATGCAGGAGTGAAGAAAGATGTCCTGACTGAGCTACCTCCTAAAAAGGAGCTTATTGTACGTGTTGAACTGAGCAGCAAACAGAGAGAATATTATAAGGCAATTTTGACTCGTAATTATGAGATATTAACTCGCCGTGGTGGAGCACAAGTAAGATTCATGCTTTAGCAAACTGAGCCTTTTGGTGTTCTTTTCTTAACCGTAGCTTCATAAGGAAAGAAGCAAAATGTGTCAACAGTATATTAAGTAATTGTTTCATGTGGTTTTTTTAAAATCAGATTTCTCTTAACAATGTTGTTATGGAACTGCGTAAGCTATGTTGTCATCCGTACATGTTGGAAGGAGTTGAACCAGTTCTGAACGATGAAAAAGAAAAATACAAGTAAGCTTCGATACTATTATTTTTAAATGCCATAATGGTTATTGTTTATTAGAAATACTGGTTGCTCTGCTTATTCGGCGCTAAATCTTGTTTCTCTTTTCATTTATAAATGAAATTTGCTAACTTTCTTAACTAAGAGGAAGTATTAATTACTCCTATGTTTATAGCGCCAAAACAAGTATTCTTATGTTTAAAGGAATTAACTGTTTTAGAAATTTGAATCAGGGTTACCAAAAGCTATCGACAGTGGCATGGTCCTTGGCCGCTACAATGCCCCCTGTCGCATCGAAAATAGTAGGTATTGGGATGTGATGGCGCCACCCCATGAGAGCAAACTGGAATTCCATAAATACTCTTAAAAGCTAATAATTAGAGTGGGGATATTTTAGAGTTTTCAAAGGAAAACCAGTGCGGAACACCTCAAGTTTTTGATTCAGGCGTTACTTAAAGTTTCTCAATTCTTCTCTCATTTCTAGGAACCAACCAATCTTCTTCACACCTATCTTGTTTGTAAATTTAAGACACCAATGACTTTTTATTGTCAGTATGGACTATAATAATGTCATGAGTTGTGATTTTTTTAATAGTTGTTATAATATATATTTAGTTTACACTATAAATTGCACAAAAACTTCCAGAATGGCAGCGATTCCACTATCCTGCCATAGCGTGTATGGGGTGTCCACTACACGCAGCTAATGGGGATGGCATTGATATGAATTATAATAAAATTAATTTTCATTTTTTGTTTAGTTACCCTAGGTTGATTGGATCACTATGTCCCCTTTTCATTTTTCTCTGTTACAGACAACTGCTGGAATCATCAGGGAAGTTGCAATTGTTAGACAAGCTGATGATGAAGCTTAAAGAGCAAGGGCACAGAGTCCTAATATATTCCCAATTTCAGAGCATGTTGGACAAGCTTGAAGAATATTGTGTTTACAAGGTATTCATATCACAGTATTCTACATTACTGACAGTTTATGCATAGTTGATTTATTTCTGTATTTTATTGAAGTACTCTTTTTTTTTTTTTTTTTTTAAATACCAGAATTGGCAGTATGAAAGGATAGATGGCAAGGTTGGTGGAGCTGAAAGACAAGTAAGGATAGATCGATTTAATGCTAAAAATTCTTCAAGATTTTGTTTCCTTCTTTCTACTAGAGCTGGTGGAGTGGGGATAAACCTTGCAACGGCTGACACAGTTATTATATATGACAGGTGGCACTTCATATTTTGAAACTTTTTACTTATTAAAGGACTCATTTTAATTTTAAATAATTTTTCAATCGAAGTAACGTTGGAAATTCCGCCTTTATTGGGGTCTGCCCCCAACCGCCTAATTGCGGCATTTGGGGCCGGTCCAAGGGCCAAACTAGGGCTTTAGACCTCAAAATTTTGGGTCAAAAAATGGTCCCATAAAAGTAAAATTTAGTTAATTAATATTTAATGTCATATTTCTAATAGATATTTCTTTTGTTGAGTTGGTAAAAGAGAGTGCCTCATATTTATATGGTCATGGGTTCATCTCTTAGCCACAACAAAATTTGATTTTTTTTTACAAAGTTTTAAAAGGTCTCACTATAAAAATTGCTTTAAGCCTCTAAGTAATTTGAACCGGCCTTACCATCATTTTCACACCCAACACTTTCATTGTGTTGGGTGTGAAAGGATGAATTTAGTCTCACATGGCCTAGAGATATTTTGTGTAGTGTTTATAAAGCTTGGGTAGCCATCACCTTACAAGCCAGTTGTGTAAGGTTGAGTTAGGCTCAACCCAAATTCTAAGTAGTTATACTATTGGCCATAAAAAAGCTCACTGCCTTCTTTTTTGTGTGTAAATCTAAAGCCAAAGGTTTATTATGTCTGATGTTAACATCTTTAATTGGTATCATTAGCTTCCATAATGACAACTTCTTTCCCTATACATTTGTAATTTCTTCGAGCAGAAACAAGTGAGAATAGCTGTAAGCTAGTTTGATCATAGTGATTGGTCAGTTATTAGTTATCCCTTTACCATTTTTGTAGCAGTTTCCATGTTATTTCTGCTGGTGTTTACTATTGTCTGTTTTTTTTTGGTCAGGTATTGTCTTATTTAAATGGCATTAATGTTATAAATGTGATATGTGAACTGTTAAACTACCTTTTCTATGCCTTTTTATGCTATTGCCCTATGTTACTTGATGAACACTGGGAATGTACATATATGGTGCTTAACATGACAAGTCATTTTCTTAGCTCGTTTCTTTATGATGGATATTTACAAATAACAACAATATGAAGTATACTTGCATTCATATGGTAAACTGTGGGAACTCTCAATGTAGTCCTTTTTTACTGGTGTCAATGCTACCTTGCTGAAAGTTTAATTCTTCATAAATTTTATGTATTGTCTAATTAGGTTCATTTTTTTACTACCATTTGCTGATCAAACTATTATTATATAGTGATTGGAATCCTCACGCCGATCTACAAGCTATGGCCAGAGCTCATCGACTTGGACAAACTAACAAGGTTGGAGCTTTTTTCATAATTATATAGTGGTCTTTGTTTAGTGGGAATATCATAGAAGTTCTTGTGTTTTAGGTGTTGATTTATAGGCTTATAACTCGAGGAACAATTGAAGAAAGAATGGTGGAAATGACGAAGAAGAAAATGTTGTTAGAACACTTAGTGGTTGGGAGCATAAAGACTCAAAATTTTAACCAGGTAATAATTTTATTTTTTTTGTTGAAAAATTGAAATTTTTTGTTTTCCAAATTGATGGTGTCAGTCTTCTGTCACATTTCCAAACTATTGACTGGTTGTTTAAAATGTTGAGAATGTTCATGGCTGCAAGCCAAAAATCTGCCGCTGTACTATGGTGGACGACATTGTAAAGTGGAAGCTTGACAGCAGTAAATAGAATATAATATCTGTACTCAAAGTAATACCAAAAGAACTGCTGAATGCAATAAAACTAATAATAACGTACATCAAGAAAAATAAAGTAAAAATATTATAATTCATAAACTTTAAAGACATTGCTGTAAGTCTCATAAGTTCACTAGAGAGTAAAACCATCAAGTTCAAGTAACAGAAAATTGTGAAACAATGCCTTTTTTATTATTGGTAATCTTGAAACTTATGAGGCATATGTTCAACACCAGAATCAAAGCGAATTTTTTTAACACTTGCTTAAACTGAATTTCAACATATATCAGAAATTTCTCAAACAGGGAGAACACTCTACATTTAGATCGAAGAAAATATATCCAAGTAAAATGTTTGAAAACATCAACAAAAGTGACAATATTTTTAGTGAGCATGAGAAGCTATGGGAGACATACCCACACATCACTATGAATCACCTCAAAAAGTTAAGGTGCTAAAGATCATTTCAACTTACATGGTAAACTAGTAGTTAGAAATACTCATGGTTTTTTCAATATTATTTTCAACTTTTCTTTTCCTATATGTTTGTTCAATAGTTTATCCAAACTGTCTCATAGTTATGGTCATGGCACTTTTTAATATTTGATGGTAACTTCTTACTATTATCATGCTTAGGAGGAGTTGGATGATATCATAAGGTATGGGTCAAAGGAGTTATTTGCTGATGAGAATGATGCGGAGGGAAAATCTCGTCAAATTCATTACGACGATGCTGCTATAGACAGGTAATATAGACCGTCATATCTCGAGCATAACAAATGATTATGATTGATAATTTCCTTTCACATACCTTTCTTTATAATAGATTGTTGAATCGCAATCAAGTTGGAGATGAAGAGGCCACTTTGGGTGAGACTGATGAGGATGGGTTTCTGAAAGCCTTTAAGGTTGACGCTTATATGATCTTTTATATACATTTTTGTGCTTCTAACTTGACTTATTTTTGGTCATTTATCATTATTTTTTGGGAATATTTAGTTAGAGTTTAGTAGTTTGGGTATGGGTGTCGGGGTGCCAATTTAGTTGGGATGTCTATGCCTTCATCTTTTGCTTCACTTCAATTTTTTGCTCAAAAAAACTATACTAGACAGATTTAGGGAATTTACACCAATTACAAGATACTGTAAACTAAACTGCAACTCCATATATTTGCATTCCAAAAACACAGGTTTTCCATACAACCCCTGAAGTTGGTGAATAAGTACTCTAACTTCCCAGGTTTGGATACTTTTATTAGTGAGAATATCTACAAGCTGTCCTATTTCGCACATATGGAGTACAAATAAAATAGTTATGCTGCTTCTTCTTTATGAAATTCCTGTCCCTCTTGACGTGCTTAGTTCAATCATGCTGAATTCGATTATGTGCTACGCTGTTTGCTTATTTATTTTCAAAGTATAGCTTCATATGTCTTTTCCATTTTATCCTTAAATCTTCTAAAATCACAAATTCTCTGTGCCATAGTCTGAAACTCAATTCCTATAATCTTAATTCAACACCAATTGTTTCCTTTATAAAAAATGTAATTGCACGAAATCATTTTGTACTCTTTTTTTAGGTTATGTTCTTTTCGTTTACCAGATAGATAATATGTTCTAGGTGGCAAATTTTGAATATATTGATGAAGCTGAGGCTGCAGAAGAAAAAAGTGAAATAGAGGGTAAATTTTCTGTCAGTGGATCAGAAGGGAAAAGTTACTGGGAGGAATTGCTAAAAGACAGATATCAAGAGCATAAAGTTGAAGAGCTTAATGTCTTGGGAAAAGGGAAACGAAACCGCCCAAAATTTCTGGTATGTCACTTTGTGTTGACTTGTATAAGCAGCATTAGTCTACAACGGAAACTGTTTTGGTTCTGGTCTACTATGAGTTTGTGCTTCCAATTACATCTTGTCGTTTTTTCTCTTGTTGGTTCAATTGTTTGTTATGACCACTGGATCCTATTTATTTTTCCTTGCTGTTTAGTGATGAGTTTGTGCAAATTAATACTTTTTTTTCTCTCCTATTGATTGATTGTGTTTTTGTTGAGGTTTTATATACGATTCACTGACTTTCCAGATGGTTTCTTTTAAGGGCGAAAATTTTTCTCGACTAGAAGATGGAAGCTCTGACGGTGAGGATGACAATTACGAAGTGGATCTTACTGATGGCAATTCAAATTCAACAGGAACTACTACTGCTAAAAGACCATCCAAAAAGAAAGCTCGTTGTATATATCAATATTTACTTATTATTTCTTTGATGATTATGGACTTCATTTATCTGTTTTTGACTGTGATGTTAATTTATATACTAGCTGCAGATAACACAGACCCACTTCCTTTAATGGAAGGCGAAGGAAAATCACTAAGAGTGCTTGGTTTTAGTCAAAGTCAGAGGGCTGCTTTCCTTCAAATTTTAATGAGGTTATATTCTAGTTGCTGGTTTATGATTATGTCTTGTCTTTCCCTAACCCTTATGTATTAAAGAAGGGTTTTTTTCATGGAAATATTTGCAGTTTATCTCATTTAATTAGTTAATAACAGGTTTGGGGTTGGTGATTTTGATTGGAAGGAGTTTATGTCCCACATAAAGCAGAAGAATTATGAAGAAATCAAAGAGTATTAATCTGATTTTCCATTAAATCTCACCTATTCTAATTTTTTTACTGATTTATGCCAGAACTTGTATGTAGCTTTTCATATTAGCTTAGTTTTTGGGTGGGGTGGGGGGGATTAGATGACATTAGGGTTTGGCTAGAAAATAAAAAAGTAGTAGCAATATGGATTAATCTGATTTAATTAGTTAATAACAGGTTTGGGGTTGGTGATTTTGATTGGAAGGAGTTTATGTCCCACATAAAGCAGAAGAATTATGAAGAAATCAAAGAGTATTAATCTGATTTTCCATTAAATCTCACCTATTCTAATTTTTTTACTGATTTATGCCAGAACTTGTATGTAGCTTTTCATATTAGCTTAGTTTTTGGGTGGGGTGGGGGGGATTAGATGACATTAGGGTTTGGCTAGAAAATAAAAAAGTAGTAGCAATATGGATACTGATAATACTTATGGATTTAATTAGATTGATCTTGAATATACTTGTCTGTCTGGATAGTTGTACATGTGCTCATTCAGAAAATTATGATATTATTGATTGCTGTTGAGAGTTCCATATTGGATATAGTGATATGGTCTGAACAATGGCTATAAGTGGCTGGCTACCCTCACCACATGAGCTAGCTTTTGGAATTGTGTTAGGTCCAAACTTATTTTGACATTTTATCACCGCCTTTTATCTGTTGGGCCACCCACAAATGTCCACTCCTGCAAACTTCACACCCTCTGATTCTATATATAAGAAGAAAAGATCACCAAGAGAGACGAGGACAGTTAATGTTATAGCTTTGATAGTTTATTTCAAATATGACGCTATATTAAATACTCTTGGGGAATGGTGAGATCCACTTATATGGGATAGATGCATAATTAATTGTACAGTACAATATATTATAGTTTTACCTACCACAAGGTTTACTCAATATTGTATCTTTAATCATTATTTGCGAGCGAGTTTGATCTATATATTTTGAACAGGTATGGAACCCTTTTCTTGTCTCATATTGCTGAAGAGATAAATGACTCCCCTACATTCTCAGGTGATAGATCCCTTATTCCTGTGATATTTCTCTCAAGTATCATCTCTCCTATATTTTCTGTTAACTTCTTTTCTCTCTCTGTTGAAACGTGTCTGTAGATGGTGTTCCAAAAGAAGGACTAAGAATACAAGATGTCCTTGTTAGAATTGCGGTTTTGCTATTGATAAAGGAAAAAGTAAGTTCTTGAACTAAATTCACTGTATATTAGTTGCTTGTTTTTATTTATTTATTTATTTATTTTTTTTATATTATTGTGTCATCATCCTTTCTCACCGACTCTCACACTTGATTTTGTTGAGAGCTGTGTTCATTCAAATTAGTCATTCCTAGTTAGCCTGTGCAGGAAGAAACTGTGATATTTAGCGTTTCAGAATTTTCTATTATGTTAGTTATGACAGTTAGAGGTTGGTGAGGCTGTTGTAAAGCAGTTAATTCAGTTGCAAGGGACTAGTAAGTGCTAAACTATGTATTAGCAACTTGTATAAATGCGCGGCTTTGTTCCATCAGCCTGATTTCTATCTTTCTTTTCTTTCTTTTGATCTAGTGTGTGTAAGAAAAAGAACAAGCGTGTGTTCAAAGTTCAAACAGACTTGACTGCTTGTGTGTCTAATTGTTTCAAAATTAGAAACTATATGTTCCCATAAATTTTCATGCTAAAAGTATATTTTGTTAGCATTTGTTCTTTAGTTTTTTTCATTAACCTGTTGTTTAGTTTAAACGTTAATGCATAGCACATCTGTGATAGTATCTGTATGTACTCTCAACTCTATTAAACTATGTTCCTTTTCACGGTTGTGCAAGCCAGCTTTGTTCTGGTAGTTTATTTGTGGTTTTGATTCCTGAAAAATAGCCATGGGGATTTGAAGTTAGTCAGGGATAGGGGGCTACATCAATTTATGTTATCCCTAAAGAATATAAATCCATTAAAATAATTATGAAAGATGTTGATTCTCAACTTAAACTGCTGAAAGGTGGAACAAAGTTAACAAATTGGCATATTTTGATTGGTCATCAACTGTTAAGCAATACAACAACAACAACTAAGCCTTACCCCATAACTGTTGAGCAATAAAATGTGAAAAGAAAAAAAAATCCATTTAAACTTATTATGTGTATATAATTTTTTTTATGCTTATATTACTTCTATATCATTGCATGGTTTTCCTGTTGTGAAATTAAACTGGATGCAACTAAATTTATTAATTTTCTTTTGTGAAAAGGAGATGGGGACTTGTAGTTGAAGTTAATGTTCAGAAAGAAGAAAACATGTAAAAGAATGCATGAGTATTAGACAGAAGAGCTGTGTTAAATAGATATTGAATCACAAGATACATGCTACTCTGTTTACTATATTTACCTGATACTATTAAAAATTTAAAACACAAATTTACATTATTTCTAACACTCCTTCTTAACCTGAAGGATATAGATCTTATGTCCCAAGCTTGCTACATATGAGGGCTCCATAAGAACTTGATCAAAACATTTTCACTATTATTATTTCCTCTAGTTGACAAATATGTTTTCCTCATCTTCAAATATGGAACGACAGGTGAAGTTTGCATCAGAAAATCCTGGCACTCCACTTTTTTCAGATGACATCTTGTCACGCAATATAGGCTTGAAACTTACAAAGACATGGAAGGAGGAGCATGATTTAGTCTTACTGCATTCAATTTTGAAGTATGTTTTTTAAAAACTAATTATCTACCATCATAGTCATAAGAAAATGCATTGCATCTTTTCAAAATCTGTGTGCGTGCGTGTGCGCTACCCTCCATTTATTTCATTTAATGAAAAAAGATTTTGAATGTTTTTGCATTATTGTAATCTTTTCAGGCTATTTTTATTTAATCTAATCCTCTAACATAGTTCTTTTCTATTAAGGCATGGGTATGGAAAGTGGCCAGCTATTGTTGATGATATGGATCTGAATATTTTGATGGTCATCTGTGAGGAGTTAAACATTCCATTCATAAATGTACCAGTAGGACAAGTTGGCTCTCATATGCCAAATGATGCAAATATGACAAATGCAGAATCCACCAGCAATCAGTCTAGGCAGAATAACGGCAGCGTCATGGCAGTTAATGGGGCATATGGTTCTTGTGATGCTGGGAACCAAGAAAAGTTGCATCAAGAGTCCTCTACGTTATGTCAATTTAGAGAAATGCAAAGAAAACACGCTGAGTTTATAAAAAAGAGGTTTCTTCTCTTAGAAAAATGTATCAATTATGAGTACCAAAAAGAATACAATGTAAGTACATAAATGCTTCATAGCAAGCAAAATCTTTTTAACACTTTATTTATTTCTCTCTTTAGAATGCACATGATTTGAGTCGGATATTGAGTTGATTATATGTTTGTTTGGTTTCGAATTATTATTATTGCTGTCAACTATCATCTCTTCCAACCTTAATCATAGCGATGTAAGCTTATGTTTAACTGACAAGGTTTATTTTACACTTAGAGGGTAGATCATGTAGTACTATACGTAACATGATTGGTCTCTGAAGATATCTGGTTGACTTGCGTGTGGATTGACTAACCAATGAACTTTGTCTGCAGGATGATATGAAAGCTAGGGAAAGGACCAATAAAGAACTCAAAAATGAACCTATGGCTACAAATGTAGGAAGGCACAGATTGGGGGAGACTCACACCCAAACGATTGATCAATTGCCTCAATTAGATCCAATAAGTATGACTGATACCTATCCATTAACAGCTTTGTCTCATAGTCAGACCATATCAATTGCCTACTTTGCATCTGATAATAACATACGAATATGTTTACTGTATGCCATTTTGTGCTTGGGTTATTTTCTTTTTTGAAGACCATTTGTCACATTTTTTTCCATTGCTATCTGCATACCCAAACAAAGATTTAATTGTTGTTCTTTCTTTTCTTCTGCAGCTTTTGAAGAAATCTGTACTTTTTCTGTTCGTGATAATAATCCAAATCGGTTGACATTATGTCATCTTTACAATGAGGTAAAAGTGTGTTTTTATTGCCACTCTTTAGCTGTTCTTTCGGTATGCAAGATTGCTGCATGATACAATAAATGGTAGGAAACAGTTATATGCTGAGTACCTTTATCAATTATCTTTCCCGCTGTGTTGGCAGATGTGTCACGCTGTGGAGACAAATACTGCGGATTTAGTTCAAGCATCACTGTCCAGAGAGCTGACAGAAGTCAATGCTATGAAGAATTTCCATCAGCTAGCAACCATCTGTGACCATGTCAACAGAATTCTAACACCACAAAATCAAACCATTTCAGAGCCAATAGCAAATTCTGATATCAAACCAGATGTTGTATCACAGACTGAAGTTTTGGAGCCTGAGTCCCATTTCATCATCCCTCAAGATGAAAGCAAATCTAGAGATAATGGAGTCTGAATTCAAAAACCAAAGCAAGCAGTTCGAGCTTGATGGAAGAGAATCATGAAGACATGTCTTCCAGAGGCAATGTGGAGAATGATACCGAGTTTAATGGCATGGCATGGCATACCAGAAATCTGATGCGGTGGTAATTTTTTGGGATTATGAGATGCAATATCTTATAGACAGATATTTATTTATGCACCTTTTAGCATATACCTAAAAGTGTAGTATTATATATACTCTCTATTTCAATTGTTTGGTTCTTAAAATATTTAAACTTTTAACAAAACTTTGGGTGTTTCAGATATCTGTCATTTTTCTTTTAAATATACCTTTTACTTGCAAAAGAAGTTCAAGAAACCATGGGTTCACTACAGAGTTATGGTTAATGCTTCCCTTGCAAGGGAATGAGCCACACTGTTCCCTTGAGATAACACAATAGTCATCTTAAAGCCGAAACACCAACTTTAGAATGATTAACAATTAGAACCAGAATCTAGGTGATATGTCTGGCACCAATATTGTTTTGTCTTTGTATTGTTCCATCCTTATTAAACTTGTATCCCATCGAATTTAGAGTCGGATTTATGTCTAAATAATTGGTTTGATCTAATAATAGTGTTGCGAGCGTGGCTAGCCAACCCTGTCCCTTGTACACTTCTACTTCTAGAAGAAATAAAGTCTCCCTAGTGATTCTTCAAATACATACTGAAACCTATATGACCATCAGAAAACAAAACATCCACAAGAAGGCGACATCTAGGAAAAAGGAGGTAAGTGATTAAGGTCCATTCATACCTATGGCGGAAAACTACCAATTAAAAATACTGACCAGCTCTTGTAAGAACTAGTGTTGTGGTAATAGTTACATCATCTCAAAGCCTCACATTCCTCCTCATACGCCATATCACTATTAATCCAAAGAATCCTATCAAGTTTCTAGAAATTTGGGATTGATAATCTGTCACATGTGAGATTGAATAAAACACTCCTTGGTGTGAGGGTAGGTGGGAAAACATGTCAAGTATTGTCCAAGAAGGATCTAAAAGGACTCGGGTAGAAAATTGGCGCCCCTACTTTGGAGTTGGGCTATAATAGGTAGACAACTGTGGCATGCACAATAAAGAAACAACTTAACACAGGAGGGAATAATGATAAATAAAGATGGTTCTCACGATAACTATTTTAGATAATTCTATACAAACAAACAAAATGCATTTTAATTCATGAACAAATAAGATAACCAAATATTTTAAGAGATCGGGATATTATAAGTAAAAGATTAAAATAGATTGATGTTCATATACGACAAATAGTTGAAATAGGATTTGATCATTAACTCTCGCATTTGTGGTGTTGTGTGGTGACTTATCATCTAATATTATAAAAGAGTAATAAAATTCTAAACTAACTGATAGCAAATGAGTACTAAAACCTTGAGTGACATCAAATTTTACTGATTTTATCATCAATCTAATTATTGTTTTGTCACATCTTCCCGCACAATTCAAACTTGTAATAACACGTGGCATAAGCACAATTCACAATAATATTAAAGTCACTTTCTAAAAAACAACACATATACAAAAATATAAAATATGACGTACACATGACATGATAGTAATTACTCCTCGCATTTATTAAGTCCATAGCGAAATAATAATAATAATAATAATAATAATAATAATAATAATAATAATAATAATAATAATAATAATGCACAAATAGTTTAGATATAAAACCTTATACAAATCACATGTAAATGATTCTAAAATTTACAATTCTGTAAAATGTCGTGGGTAGGGTTGTTCTTGAGTGCAGGTCGACTGATAACTCACATTTTATGAGTTATTAAAAACTCTAACACTTGAATTTATTCTTTTTATTTAATTGCTTGCTAGTTTGTTTTAATGCATTTTGTTGTTTTTGAGTAGTTTATAAAGAGTACAATAAGTGCTCTATTTTATTAATTTTTATGTATTTGTTGTATGTGTAGAGTTAGCTTTTGATGAGGCCTAGCACGATAGTGTTGGAGTAGTGTTATTCCCCCAAGTAAAAGTGGAGAGCTGAATGTAATTGAAGTTAAGAAGATATGTCATTCAATTTTCTAGGACACACGTGACAACAATCTGTAGAATGGAGGACGTTTGAACCAAATACGCAAAGGGATAGGATCAAGGTGCTAAAGGACAAAACTCTGCACCATAGTACACCCACTACAACGCCATGCTTGTCTGCCTACTGCAAATGACAAATGCGAGACACCACCGCTCGAATACATGCGCCAATAGCCTACCACAAAACGTCTTGTCTCCCACATGCTGATTGTACCTGCCTCTGCATTGGTACAAATTGGAAGAATTGGAGGAAATTATGTTGATTCCTTTGAGCCATAATTCAAAAATATCCACAAGTCCATGATCCAATAGAACACCAAAAACTCTAGATGGACGTGACTATAAAAGGACTTCTTGGAGGAAATGAAAAAAAGGTTTAACATTTGAGAGCAAGAAACACTTAGAGAAAATCAGTGAAGAGAGTGAGTTGAAAAAAAGTGGAGATCTTCTTCTTCTGATCATTTCAAGTGTATGCTACCAATATCTGGCGTGATAGAGGCTGTCTCTTGGTGATTAACCATTGCAATAAGACGAAGAAGTTAATCTTAGGTTTTCATTTCTTTTTTATTATGTATTTAATAATGTTTAGCTAAGAATCCAATATTGATGCATGTACTAAACTCATCATGAGTTAAACCCTTTTATGTTGAGTAACATGAAGTTAATATGAAATAGTTGTTTGTGTTAAATGACGTGTCGTTAGTGCTTTATTTTATCATGGGTTAAACTGTCATAAATTTGTTCCTTTGTATGATCAACTTAGAAAAAGATGCAAGCTTGATGTTGTGAGAGATTCTGCAACAAGTGGATTTCTTGATAAAAGTGATTGAATATAGTAGGCTAACGATATTCACTAGATTAGCTACTTTAGAGATAAAGAGTTACAATCATAGAAGAAATTCAAAATAAAATCAGACATGCATTAAAGTTACAAGCGAGACTTAGAGATTTGTCCATTTGTTTTACTATATATGTTTATAATGTTGTAGAGATACACCACAAGATCACTTTCTGACCTCTTCTGGCACAACATAACACATCATGTACACACATATGATAAGTTATATTAACAAATCATTACCCAACATACTCCCCATTATTGAACTCATTTACTCTTATTAAACTGTTATTGACACTGTTTACTTTAAAACTGAACATGTGACAACCTTTAATCATTATTATTTTTGTTCATGCTCATTTACAAAATATAGTTTTTACAAAATCAATCTAAATTATTTTTCACTTCCAGTGGATTCGACATCCTTACTATTCCGTCACTTTCTATTTTAAACATACAGGTATACTTGCATGTCACACCACACGTTTTCAAGCAATGTTGACATGCAAACTCGCTAACCGAAATCGAACCAACTCATAAATTATCCAAATTCATTCATTTACGGATATACCTACTCCAACCCACAACAACCCATATAGTTTTGGTTTGAGTATCGGGTTTGAGTTTCTCAACCCACAAACCCGTTGACCTAACTTGTTGATGTTGCATTAACGATTTATTATTTTTTATTATTATTTTAAACAAAAACATAAAATTAATATTTCACTACTGATCACAATTTGTCAAAACAATTTTATTCACCACTGGTACTACTATTAGACCAATGAATTTACGTAATTCTAAGATTAAGTGTTGTTCCTTATTATTTTTTGTATCATTTTCAACTTACATATTTTATAGAAATAACATGTCTTGTGAACTTTCTACTATTATCAAGTGTTATGTCATGTTAATGAATTTTATTAAATACTATATGATGTGTTTCATCCCATTTGAGTGTTAGAAATGAGTGTAATATACTAAATTATGTTTAAAAAAACTTATAATTGAAAAAAAAGTTAATAAAAAATATATTTTATTTGAAACACAAAACTCAATCCAACTCAACCCATAAATAAATGGGTTAGTTTGATTTGGTTTTTATCGTAAAATTACGAGTTGGACGATGAACTCAACTCATTGAAGTTTGAACGAATTGAATAACAGTTTAGGTCAAACTCGGTCCAACTCAACTCACATACAACCCTAGTCATGGGGTTTCTCCATTAAAAACTACATAATCTAAATCAAATAAGTGACTTACGAAAATAAATAAAATTCTAAACAGTTATATACACCTATAGGTTTAATTAAATAAGTCTAATAAATTTATATACTCTCGTTTTGCAATTCACTTAAATTTTTTACACTTAAAAAATAAAATATTTTTAAAAAACTTTTAAGTACCATTTTCAAACAAAATTTTAGCTTAGTCAATCTTCTTTGTGTTTACATCGGTTTTCAAAGTCTTTGACTCACTTAATACTATTAAAAATAACATAATAAGTGAAATGAAATATATAAAAAGAATATATAATAAAATATAAATATATTAAATTATCTTTAACACAATTATAATAAAAGATTCCTTACATATTATCTAACATCTCTGCTCAAACTCATAATTTATTAACATGAAGCATTGAGAGTTTGACAAACAAAAAAATATGTTAAATAACAAATCAGGTTTAATATCTTTTTTAGTCTCGTATCTTAACCTCGAGGTTCATTTTTGTCCCTTAACTTTATAAAGGTTCATATTGATCCCTTAACTCTTCAAAACGTTCCATATTAGTCCTTTTTGTCTAATTAGCGGCGAATTTAACGACTGATTTTTGAATTTTTCCGTCGCTAATAAGATAAAAAGGACTAATATGGAATGTTTTGAAGAGTTAAGGGGCCAATATAGACATTTTTAAAATTAAGGGATCAAAATGAACCCCGAGGTTAAAATACGAGACCAAAAATGATATTCCCAATAAACAATATAAATCTAAAACTCTAACACTCCACTTCAAGTTAAATTTTGTTACAATTTAACTCTGAGAATGAGAGTTCAA